AAAGCGTGCGGGCACGAAAATGTTGGCGAAACGGGTAGACCGCTCTGCGTCCGCATAAAAGAACACCTAGTCGGTAAATCTAAACTAAAACAAAATACTCCACTAGGCGCGCATAGGATGCAAGAACACAACGGAGAAGATTTTGAGGTAGGAGTCACTATCTTTACGCAGGAATCAAAAACATCAGCGCGTAAAACTCTCGAAGCGTTTTGGATCAATGCCAAAAATTCAAAAATGAACCACAAGGAGGAGTGTCTTGTCATCACGCGTGACCTGGCGCCATACCTCAGGCTGATCCAATGACCTGACATGGACACAGTTATCGACCATGTATTACTCTGTGCGGCGGCTATCCACCAACTAACTTAAATACTTACAACAAATAAACGGTAGGTGTTTGAATGAAGCTGTTTCTTATGCGAATGCAAATCGATTTGCAGTAACTACCACGACCGACTTTCTATTAACCTCGGCATTGATCGAGTGATTTTCTTCGTATTTTTGTTGAGCAAACGCGAGGTGTTACTATTCTTTGTTCACGATTAAGCTGACGTTTCGGCGGATTTCGCCTTCTTCAGAGCCTGGAAGGGTCAAGTTGATAGCAATCCACTCGGCCAGACGCCTCCATAACCAAACAAAGAAACACCAAACCAAGATTTCAATCACTTTGAACACATCTTTGCACACTCACCGCTTTCTATGAGGTTTCCACTAAGTATGTCACGTAGAGACCAACCGCACAGAAATCACGTGGAAGTATAATGTGCCCCTCAAATCTGTGCCCCTCAGTATAATGTGCAAATCGATTTGTCAAGTTCTATCTGCTAGGGTTGTGAAAGTGTTTGGCTGAGTAGATCACATCTCAATTTGACCTTTCCAGGTTCTGAAGAAGGCGAAACCGCCGAAACGTCAGCAATTGTGTTCTAATAAATTCTATATTAACAACCTCGTGTCTGCTTATTGATGAAAAACAATGAATTGTCAATTAATGCCGAGGTTAACAGAAAGTCGGTCTTGGGTTTAGAAATGGGTTGACTACGTGCAAAACTCGGACCCAATTCTAACAAGGAACGCGTATTTTCCGGAAGCGTTATACCTCCTAGCACAGTAGCTCTGGATGTTCTTGGTGTGCAGTCTATTTCAGGGTTTTTACTTGCAACTTGACCAGCAATGATCCCATGGTTTAAGCTTTTCGAGCGGCGTGATAGATCTTCAAACTTTTTTCTCAACTTGCTGTTAATATCACACCGAATCTTTTCGCCTACCGATTTAGATCCAGCTACTATTCTCTTCCAAAGATTTCTCTCCAAATGCTGAGCACAATGGTTTTCTTTGTACACTTTTGTTTAATAGTGAAAACGTTTCGTTTTGTGTGCATCGCAATGAAACGCGTAGCAGTTTTATTTCGATGATCAGCACTTGTTGAGAGCTCTCCGGTAAGCCGCATACTTAGTATGATTTTCTACGTTTTATATAAAGTTAGGTATAAATCGATGTTTTAAGCAGCGGCGTAGAAAGTAGGTCTTTTGTCGCATTAGGATGATTTTCTGTCCTAATGACAATACTTCTCTTACAAGTCGGAAATGTTTTGCTGGAACATCTCTTAATAACTCGAAAGACCAACTTTCTATAAACCTCGGCATAGATAGTTGATATATTTATTTATGTGATCTTATAAACTGATCTTCTTAAGCCGTAGCGAGGTTGGTACAGATCTTCGTTGTCGTTGTCGTTGTCTTTGATGTTATTGATCGGTGAAGCGACTTCGCCTTCCTCAGAGCCTGGACGTACTTTATGTTAGAATACTTTTTATTATTCGGTGGAAAAGAAGGTTAAAGTATTAATGAAGATCTATTATTATGTATTATTATGTATTAATGAAGACTTCAAGATCAGCTACGTTACAGGGTTACGCTAGAAAGGTTTTAATGAACAAGTATGAAACAGGATATATCTTGAGGATTATTTTTGTGTTGGGAGATAACTGTAGGCTTTAAACCTGCTGCCTTTGGCGCATTGAAGTGCTCCGATGGGGAGAAACACCCTGAATATGTTTTTCCGCTATTCCAATAACAATCTGACTAGAAATGAGCGCAGATTCCTCATCTTTATCGCTAATAGTTTGTCGGATAGACTTTGAAAACCTCTTTAAGCCGACGTATACTACGTTTTTGTCCATGTATAATGTTTGACTTAACTTTCTGTTTCCATACTGATTTAGCCATTTGGAGAACTTTGTCCGAGAATAGACGAAAAGTAGGGTTGATTACTCGTTATTCCTTTCCTTTGATGGGTCGTTAAGTCAATCGGGGTAATCACAATCACTGGCGCATGGCGCATCTATGAAGGGTTGATCAACGTTGAATGGCTTTAAAGATTTTTTTCTTGATCTTATCTACGTTGACGCCAAAATGGCCTATTCATTCATAAATAACATAAGAATGCTTGAATTTAATCTTTTTTCGCTTTCATCATCCATTTTTCTCTTCCTTCTTTTGTGGACGTTTCCTATTTAAACGATGGTCTCGTCGCCCACGAAGTCTCTTTGCTCCCTTCACAGCCTTTCGTTCTTTCTGAAAAACAGCATTATTTCAGTGAATGATCTTGCAGTCAAAGAAAAAATTGTTCATTAAAACCTACGTCATGAACTAAGCGGTTCTTTCTAGTATGGTTTTCTTCGTTCTGAAAATTGTCTCAAGATTCTCATTCGGATATATGTGGGAAAAGTTGTTCAAAAACTTCTCTATGATACCTTCCTTTCTGTGCCTTATTTAGTTTAGCAATAGCCTTTTTACACTCAATTTCCTCCTTCTCGTCAAGAATCTCCTCAATCTATAAGTCATCATAACTCGAATTTTTATTTCCATTTTTTTAAAATTTGATCCGCCTTCATGTTTACTGTGCGGATCACATCACTTCTCACATCCAGTTCGTTTCCTCGCATCCATCGTCCACGGAGGTCGTTCAAGTTTTCACGTGTGGCTTTGGTTGCTGCTTGAGGATTTTCATTTCGTCTTCAATGCCGTAGAATGCTGGTCGAGAAATTCTCCCTGGGCTCCTGAGATAGCCGGGCTGGAGAGTTCCCAATTTTATTGCAGAGAGTGATTCTTCCCAGAAAGTTCGGTATCAATTTCTCGACTCCGGAGGCATGAGAAGCTTGGTTGGCTCGGAGCGGAATCGAACTAGCGCGATGCTCGTGATGGCGAATATCACTAACACTGTGCTGTCCGCCCCATAACTCGAATTTGTACATTTAATCGGATAAGTTTAAAAATTCGCACCGTTACTAAGTAAGTAAGTAAACACTTTAAAAATTCTTGGAAAATAGAAACGAAGAGTAACATTACTTTATGGCTGAGGTATGTTTGTGGAATACCCACTAAATTTTTCTCATTTTCGTCGGGGAAGGTGTTCAGTAGTTGTTTCTTCTCATTTTTGAGCGCTCTGATCTTTGCCACGACGGTTTCACTATTTTCCGACCGCTAGAAGTATTTTCAAAGACTTTACTTTGAAACATTCAAGATATCCAAGAGTAAAATTTTCACAAACATACCGCTGAAATCCGGTCCGAATTGGCTTCTTCAGAGAAGCAGACCGATGTTAATGCAAACAGTCCGAACACCATGACAACGTACTTCATCTAAATTCATGACGTTTATGACGCGCAAAACTGTCATTTGCATTCTTTCCTTATGAAATACTTGCTTTCTTGTCGAGAATAATAAGCCTGGTAATTCTAAGGTACTCTCTCTCATCCATAAAAACTTTAGAATACACGTAAATTAATCATATCGTTTTTTTAATGATCACTAAAACAACACCTTCCAAGTGACGCACAAAAAACATGGGATTGAAGCCGATAGCAAAACGAATTTGCTACAACAGCGAAGCCAAGAAAACATAAGTAACTTTCTCAAAATAATTTTGTCGAAATGAGTGATCAGGACCGCACTGATCCAATAAATGTATTTAGAAAAATGGGCATCGCAGTGACCGTGATGCCTGTCGTAGAGGATGGAAGCCCGGACCTACCCTGCCACAATTTCGACCTGAAGTTAGGTCCACCAAAAAATCCTCGAGGAGCCTATCCCATATGTAGTGGAAAGTGGATGCGAGGAAACGAATCGAATGCGTGAAGTGTGGGAACCCGCACAATGCCATACATGACCTGCCTGTTTATGTGAAAAAACACGACAAATAGAGCAGTGGATGTTAAACACTTCCAAAGGTGGTTCGCAATGGGAAATGCTTTTAAGATCGCTACGTAGCCACTTTGCTTATATAGTGGGTGGATCAGTTTCGTAAAACCTGATAGGGATTCTATGGCGCTTATCGCACGTTGAAATGCTGTCGACGGGTTTGCATAATAACGAAAACGGCATTGTTATCTATCGCACCCGTAGTTACACGTAGCACAAAAACACATCGGGCTCATGCTTATGTATGTGTATGCATATGTATATGTGCGCATCTGCATATACTGTGTAGATAAGTATGTTAGTGTTAAGACAAGAAATAGGCGTGTAGGCCGGCTTAGAAGAAGTCCGACATTCATCATTTGAAAAAACAGCTAAAATTGCACTGCCGAAATCGCAGTCGTCATGGTGAGGAGCACATTGAGGAGATGACGAACATTCGTCTGACATACATTGATCGATGACCGCTTGTCATGATGACCTGTGAACATTAGTAAACGAGTTAGAAAAAGACCTTATGTTATCCATGCTCCAGTTAAATAGAAAAGATTCTTTTAATATCTGCAATATGCTCCGTGCATAGACACAGATGGCCCCACCCCACGTCCTCGCCTGGGATGGGCCATCTGTGTCTATCATCTGTCCAAGTTCATTGGAAACAGGTGTGATATATTAAAAGAAGCAGATTTCTGATAGTACATGGATGCCAAGGCGTCCCGACGAGAATGTGAAATTTTACCAGCACAGAAGCGGTTGATTTCTCGTAAGCACTTAAAGGTCGGCACCTCTTACTGAAATAGAATGATACAACGCTCATAGAGTTTAGGTACCAAAACTAACTCATGAAGATTTTGTTTCTGTTCCAGCGTTGACAAACTCAGAGCTCTAAAGGAGGAAATGGAGATTGGCAATTTGCTCAAATGTGAGTTGTCTGTCACATGGAGATGCAAGTTCTACTCTGCGATGCCACAAAGACGAAAGATGAAGCCCTTATTTAGTGTTCCAGTACAGGATCTCACGCACAGCTCACGCCCGATGATGACATAGATGTTAAGTAAGCGGAAGAGTCAAGCTATTACTTTGTACATTATGACATTTCACACAAGATATGGACACTATGGTGATCATACTGATGCAAGGATAGTTCCGTTTTAATTTCTCTAAATAGTTATGGATCATTCCCTAGAAAATAGGAAAAATTTTCTGTGATTGTACATGCCGATCTAATCTTGTCCTTTTAAGCAATAGTCTCGTTCGTGGTTGAAAGGTACTAGAAGGTGATGAAGAGAAGATGAAGGTTAGATTGTTGTTGACCTACCTAATGGGTCGTAAGAGTTTTGCCTTAAAATGAACACTTCAGTTTTATTCGCCAATGATTGTACCCAAGAATATATGCACATTTGAAGAGAGCTGAAAAGCTGAAGCCGTAGAGAACTGATTGACTTTCGACCAATCATAGTACGAACTACGACTATTGTCACTTTCAGTGCTTCGGTCTCTCCCTTCCTTCAGTCAGATTTGCAGCCCTTTACTGAGTGCCAATTTGATCATAAGTCTTTTGCCGAGTATAAGGTAGAAATATAAATAAGGAAAATTGAATAACACATTTTTACACATCGATACGATTGATCAGCACCTACACTCCATTCCCGTCATCAGTAATGCTTCTCGTAGGATCAAGACGGATCTACTTGAGATTCGTCACATGGGAAAAGATATGTAGTGTTTTATAACAATATTACATTCACCACAATCCGAATAGCAGAAAAGCAGTATCTTCATATGTGTCCTGTCTGTGTTCATTCCTATGTAGACATAACGTACATTTCTCAAAGTGTACCAAACCGTTATATGCATATTTTACCTTTACAATGATTCGTGATAGTCTACCGATCCATCGATCCAGTGCTGCTATCCTCTAAGACAAATCTGGTACCAATTTGACGATCCCTAAGGGATAGAAGGCTGGGTGGGCCGTGGGGCTGGAAACCAATTCCACGTGAATGTTGCAGAGCATCTCTGACCACTGCGCCATACGCGCGCTTGATATGGGTGCACGTTAAAAAAATAATTTGTCTGTAGCTGTAGCGAACAATTACGTGATTCCATAAACCGTTCCCATTACCAATCCAGAAAGAAGCCTAAAAATGAGGAGAAATTGTTTGCTTCCAAACGCAAGTATAGTGCATCCAAATATTTTGAGCAATATCCCAGACATAATAAATCGGCAATAGAATCACTGCTTTGTTTCAATACTGGATAGAAAGAAAAATATTTTGTTGGTCGATGTAGCTCGTATAAAAGTGGGGCAAATCCATGAACGATATTCAGCTTTAACTTTTCGTTTTCGACTAACAAAATACTGCCTTGTTTCGATCTGCTTCAGATTCCAGAATGAGGGTTTTACTACTAGCATATCTCGCTACCTTCATCAAGAGCGAAGAAAGTTTTGAAGAAAAACTAAAGAAAGGGAATCAGTTACTCAAAAGCGTACGTACGGCATTCTAATCAACTGAGGCTTCAGATTATGGTTATAAGCTGTGGCTTTTCCTTTCAATCATCCAGTTTTCACAGGAACCAAATGCTGATGATACGATGGAATTTCTTAAGAAATTGCACAGCATGGAAAAAGAAATCAAAGACGAACTCACTGTATCTACAAAGCCGAATGGTGATGTGTTGAAAGCTATGAAGGTAAGCA